CATCCAGGTACCAAATGCTCCTACAAGGACTGCTACAAACAAACCATTTAGCCCTTGTTATAAAGGTTGACCTCAGGAGCCATTCACAGAGTGCTCTAAAAGTTCAAAGGCAACATTAATTTGGGTTGTATTTTCCCCATTCACTCCAAGTCAGCAAGAAGGAGAGGATTAAAAGGAAAGGAAATCCTGTTATCTAATGCCAGGCTCTTCTTCCAAGGACTTATACTTCAAGTTCCTTGTAAGTATAAGTGGATTAATCCCCTGATCCAGGCAGCAATGCTCTGCTTCTTTTCAGCACTGGTGCTGCTTCCTTCTCTCATCCACATCGGCACTGCCTGCATCTCTTTCTTTCTCCTTAAGCCTCTTGACTCATTTCCTTAGGGGCACAGATCTTCACTAGACTTTGTCCCAATGGATCTTATTACACGTTTCATGTAAATCCAATTGCTATCTTATTACAAGTAAGATTTAGTACACTGTTATTCTTCTGCATAGAGAGATTTATATTAGGTATTATATATAGAGAGATTTATATTATATTTATATTAGACAGCTATCTAAGAAATGAGAAATGCCCAATTTTTCCCAGTTGGCAAAGAAAGAGCAGTATGAACATTGAACAAACAGCATTCACTTTGAAACATGTGGTAGCTGACCTCAAGTTTTAGACAAGCCCACTAGATAGAGCTCACTGTTAATCCGTGTGTGTGTGTGTGTGTAATTACACTACACATGAAGCATCATATTGACTAGCCATGCTGTGTTGTCTTTCAGTGCCATTTGCCCAGGGAACCTTTTTTTCTCTTTTTAATTGAATTACTGGACACAAAGCAAAAGTGTATCAATATATCTGAAAGGAATGTTCCTTTGAGGCATTTATTAAATTGTACTTCATTGTGTAATTATTCTTTTTTTTAAAATTTATTTATTCATTTATTTTTGGCTGTGTTGGGTCTTTGTTGCTGCGCATGGGCTTTCTCTAGTTGCAGCGAGCGGGGGCTACTCTTCCTTGCGGTGCGCGGGCTTCTCATTGCAGTGGCTTCTCTTGCTGCAGAGCACGGGCTCTAGGTGTGTGGGCTTCAGTAGTTGTAGCACGCAGGCTCAGCAGTTGTGGCTCACGGGCTCTAGAGCGCAGGTTCAGTAGTTGTGGTGCACAGGCTTAGTTGCTCCGCGGCATGTGGGATCCTCCCGGACCAGGGCTCGAACAGTGTCCTCTGCATTGGCAGGCGGATTCTTAACCACTGCGCCACCAGGGAAGCCCTGTAATTATTCTTTATTATTTCTCTCAACAGAATGTAAGCTCCATAAGGGCATGAAGTGTATTTCTTTATTTTTAACATCAGTATATCTACTGAAAGTGTTAAATCCACATTTGCTAATAAACATACAAACCAACTCAGCATAATGATAAGGATAAAAATATAAATGGTGAGAATAGTACACACATATTAAGTAAATGCCTTGTGCCAGTGCTATGGTCTAAATGTTTGCGTCCCCTCAAAATTCATGTGTTTAAATCTTAAGCCCCCCTAAAATGATCGCATTAAGAGGTGGGGCCTTTGAGAGGTGCTTAGGTCACAAGGGTGAAGCCCTCATGGATGGGATTAGTGCTCTTATAAAAGAGACCCCCTAGAGCTCCCCAGCCCCTTCCCCCATGTGAGGGCACAGCAAGAAGGTGCTGACTTCTCACGAGTCAGGAAGAGGGCCTTCACCACAACAATACCATGCTGGAGCTGGACCTTAGACTTCCCAGCCTCTGGGACCGTGAGAAATTAAAGTTCTGTTGTGTATAAGCTACCTAGTCTGTGGGCTTTTGTTATAGCAGCCCAAACAGATTAAGAGAGCCAGGCACGTGTTAAACATTTACTTTATACATGTAACTGATAAAGCGAATAAGCAAATGCACGGAATATAGGTGAAATGCAGCTTTTATCTCCCACTGCTATTGATATTTACTCCATGGGGATAACTTTCCCTGACCCTGAAGGTCACAGCACGGCATCCGTTCTCCTGGGAAGACATCTCTTCCCTGATCACTCTTCCTATAAGAAGAGTGATCAGGGAAATTCACCGGAGCCTGTAAGATATAAAACGGATTCTTTTGCCTCTTCCTTGTATATTTACATGTGGGTGATGATCTCAGCTTCACCGCAGTATTAGATCTATGGCAGACATGCCACAGGCACTGCAGGACAGGAAAAATGCTAACTTAGCATCCTGTTATAGATGCATGAGCTCATTCAAACCACTCAGTAACCTGACAAAGTAGCAACTCTTATCTCCAATGTGCCAATAAGAAAATGGAGACTTACTGAGGTTAAAAAACTTGTGCAGGGTCACAGGGTGCTGGAGATGATCATGGCTGGTCCCCAAGGGAGCCCTTAGTTGTCAATGGTGGGGCTTGGCAATAAAGTCATTAGTAAATATTACAGATGGTAGAATTTCTAACGAAGGCTGAAATAGGAAAACGTCTATGCTACATCCATAGACATTCAGAATGAGATCATTTACAAATGAAGAGAAAACAGGGCAGTCTGTATCAGATGATGTCTCCTATGTTTCCGGAGGGGAGGACTGAACCCCAGCTTCAGAGGTGTATAAACCCCAAGTGGTCACCCAAGTGCCCAGAATGAGAATTCCCAAGAAAGGGACACAGCTGCTAGAGGCAGTATGCTCTTCACATCACCCCAGCCCCATCTCTCCACTCACCCACACCACTAGTCATGTTTCTTTCATAATCTGTTGTTACCGCGAATAATTTTGAATTTCAATTCTAATTCCATGTGTCTTGTGATTTATTACACATATTCAAGAGGAGGTGGTGTAGACCCTTCCTTTAAGGAGTGGGAAAATACACATATATAACTATACCTATACCATTCCCATCGGGGGTTATCTGCACACCCATTAAGCATATCCACTTACATTTTTACTTTACACTTACCTTACGGCTTAAGGGGAAAAAATATGTGTTCACAAAACAATACTAAGGCATGAAAGGCAGCAAGAAGCTACTCACCATCTGACTTTTAAAAAACCTATAGACCATATGCAATTTATAAACATCAGTGATGAGAAGGCGAGCTGAAAAAAACCAAACTCATCCCAGACACACATGCATTCAAAAGACAGCTATTTCCACTTGAGTTGCAGTAATAATAGCGACAGAGTGAGCTTTCTTTAAAGTTTTTTTTTTTTTTTTGCGGTACGCGGGCCTCTCACTGTTGTGGCCTCTCCCGTTGCGGAGCACAGGCTCCAGATGCACAGGCACAGCGGCCATAGCTCACGGGCCCAGCCGCTCCGCGGCATGTGGGATCTTCCCGGATCGGGGCACGAACCCCTGTCCCCTGCATCGGCAGGCGGACTCTCAATCACTGCGTCCCCAGGGAAGCTCACAGAGTGAGCTTTCTTAATTGTTCCCAAATATAGTATAAGATTGTTGGGGGATATATATGTGTGTACATATATATATATACACACACACATATATATAGAAAGAAAGAGACAGAAAAAGAGAACAGAACGGTGGGAGAGATGGTGGATCCACATGCACGCAGTTTGCAGGCAGAGAAGATGAGGAAGTGATTCTCTTTATAAAACATAATATTAACTGTGTAATTTACCGATTCTAAAGCAAGCCAAAAACTGTAAAAATAGTCAGTCACCTCAATATATGAATTCGTTAAGAAAAACACCAAGAACCCCAGCACTACAACAAAGACGAAAACCACAACCACTGAATTTACTGCTGTGGCCAGTTTAAATCTAAGGGAACAGCAGCAAAATGAGGAGACTCTTCAAAACAAACATGTGATTTTAACATTAAATTGAAGTATTTTCTAGACCAGTGCCACTTAAAGGCATTTTCTGGAATGATCGCTCTTGAGCACTAGTGGGAGTGTGGAACTGAATTTTTAATTTTATTTAAATTTAATGAATTTAAATATCTACATATAGCTATGGTATTGTACAGTGCAGGTTTAGACAGAACAAAAAAGTCAGCCCATCACGAAATGTTCCAAAATCTTTTGGACTGTAATAGGTAAAATGAAATCTGTACTGCAAAGTTACTACCAAAACACGATATATAACATCTACATGATAGAAACTTTGTAACTTGTTTACAAATTGTAAGAAAGATTCATTTGAAACTTGAAAAACGCTACCTCTGTGACTGGAGCATTACACCGCTGAAGTGTAAAAGAAGGTACACGTCCTTTTGTCGGCCAAATAAACCCACCCCCGAATAATAAAAACACAAGACTGTGTACTGAATTTCCCAGAATGACAGCAACCAAAATCATGAAGAACTCTTGTAACCCCAATTTGGCACACGTGATTACGTTTTTTAAATCCCACTTCCGAATATATATATATATATATATATATATATATATAGGACAACCTTCCATCCGCTGCGAGGCTGGCCGGAGCATTCCAGGTCCCACTTTTCTCCCCCACTTTTATTGAGACATAATTGACACATAGGTCCGTGGAAGTTTAAGGTGTACCCCTAACGACTTGACATACATAGAATGCCAAATTGACTACCACAGTAAGTTTAACATCCATGCCCCTCATCCACTTACAAAAAAAGTTCTTCTTGTGACGAAAACTTTCAGGATTTACTTTCTCAGCAGTTTCTAATATACCGTAGAGCAGCGTTACATACAGTTACAGTCACCCTGTTGGACATTACCAGCCGCGCTTCTAAATCCTGCATGCGCGCACCTGCCAGCCCGGCACACGCGCCCCCGAGCACCCCGCTCGCGCTTCGGATCCCGGCACACACGCCCCCAGCCTCGCACGCGCGCCTCGGATCCCAGCACACGCGCCCCCGAGCCCCCCGCTCGCGCTTCGGATCCCGGCACACACTCCTCCAGGCCCGCACGCGCGCCTTGATCCCGGCACACGCGCCCCCAGCTCTGCGCGCTGACCTGGGATCCCCACACCCACGCTTCCAGCCCCGCACGCGCCCGAGCCCGCGCGGCGCCGCTCACCCTTCTCGCTGACGCTCTCGCTCTCTAGCTCCACGTCCTCGCAGCTCGTGTACTCCGGCGTGGACACGCCCTCCTCCTCCGAGCTGCTCACCGACATCTGGCGCCGCTTGCCGCCCCTCTTGGCGCGATGCGGCTTGGGCGGAGACGGCCGCACGGACTCGGACTGGTCGGAGCTGAGCGAGTCGTTGCGCAGCATGGTCTCCACCTTCTCGCGCTTGGCCTTGCGCACGAGGACGGCCGCGCCGGGGTCCAGGCGGCTCTGCTTCCGGAGCGGCTCCGGGGCCCTGGGCTCCGGGGCGTCGGCGGGGCCCGGGCCGGGCCGGGGCGCCGGCGGGCTGGGCTCGGCGAGCGGCGGGGCGCCCGGCGCCCGGGCCTCCGCGGTCCTCTCGGCCGAGTAGGCGCGCGGCGAGGCGGGAGGCGAGCCCCGGGCGGCGTTGGGCGCGCGCGGGCCGGGCCTGCCCTCGGGCCCAGCTGCCGCCTCGGTGCGCGGCAGGGCCACGTCGCTGTGGCGCCGCTCGTGCCTGGCGCGGGACATCCGCGCGTGCATGCGCATCTGCTGCTCCTCGGGCGGCGGCTTGACCGGGTACCGCGCCAGGTTCGGGTCGCTGCGGTACCGGGTCTGGTACTCCTCCTCCTTCCTCTGCTTCTCGGCCTCCACCGCCGGGCCGTTCTCGCGTTTCTCTGGCACGTCGGGGTAGTCCTGGGACCGGCCTTTCTCGAGCCTTCGGCTTTCCCGCCTTTCCTTGCGCTCCCGTTCTTCCGTGAGCCCCTCCGTGGGCTGCCCAGAGGACCTGGGCGCGCGTTTCCGCTCGCCCTTCGGGGCGCCTTTGCCATTCTGCTCGGCGAGCCCTGGGGTCTTCTTCCTGTGATGCACAAAGGAACGTCCAGAAGGAGAGCAATGTGTAAAGCTCAAGGCGAAGACCAGACCCCAGAAGCATCCTTGGAAATAATTATTTATACTTCGATGTCTAATTAAAAAGCGAGGTGATAAAAGAACTACATCAAACCTGTATACCTGAGTAGCTTTCTAAATAAGGCTCCTTTGCCTCACAACATATTCCGGGCCTTCACAACTGGCTTTCAGACTTTAAATTCTCTATAAATTAACTAGATCATTTTAAAAATCAATAAATTAATTCAGTAAATGAACAAGATTTATGAACCTCTGCTTGTGAATCAAAGACTTTAAAATGTTCTCGATAAAAATAATATAGGTAATAATCGAGGAGTAAACGGTAATACATACATATGAGTTCAAAACATAAATATATATATATATATATATATATATATATATATATATATACCTGATATATATTTGGGCAAAATGTATTAACAATCTCTTATTATAACTGAAACTTTTAAAGAAACGTGAATCCAAGTGTGTCCATTTCAGGAATCAACTCCAATAGCACTTCCTCAATAGTAGAACGAAAGTACTTTTTATGAGATTATGTGCACCCCACCACTTTTCAGGGAGACGGTTAGGAAGAATAAATGGCTGAACCTTAGCCTTCATTTTACCTTCCCCAGGCAAATATAATAGAAATCTTGAAATTTTTGAAATAATTTTTACTTTTTCCTCCCTCTCCCCATCCCTGGCCTTCTCCCTCCTTTCAGAAAACAGTCCAAAATGTAGAGCACAGGGAACTGTATTCAATAACCTGTGATAAACTTTAATGGAAAAGAATATGAAAAAAGAAACCCGTTTTGTGTCCTACTTTTCTCTCCATCCTCTGGGAGGCAGTGGCAAAGATAAAGTAACGGAAGAGGGTTTGGCAGTCTGAATCTTTAAGGTATACTGTTTAAGATACCCCTTCCAGCCCTTCTGTACACTGGAGTCCATCTGATTTGGGCAAGTTCCAGCATCGACCGCAGAAGTTACAAAGAGGGGATGCCTCAGCTAAGCGTTCAGGCACTGTATGCTGTGCTATGCAACTAAAGTGGGGCAACCAAGGCTCTTTTCGGAATCCCGAGGTCCACGGCGAGGGCTTTCCAGAGAGAACATTGTTTGATTGGAAGTCCAAAAGCAGAATTCATGAACAAAATTTGAGAATAATATACAAGATGGGAAAAAGTAGGGCAGTTTCTGTTGTGGTTTTTCCAAAGTAGTAGTTGCTAAGCTGTGGGGTCAGTTTGAGGAGGGTCTGGTGACGATGGAAAGAAAGGGCAAAGGGTTTCCAGTGGCTCAAAATAGCAAAATAGAAGCATGGCCGATGCTGCCTGAGGCATTTAGATCACTCGGCCCTTTGAAGTGGAAGGGGTTTTCAGGGAGGGAGGAATTGCAAAGGTAGTATTGCCGGTTTCCAGTGTAAGGGGTCTGCTATGAATACAATCCATCATTACCAAATAGAGTTTTCATAAGAGTGACGAATGCACTGCAAACTTTTAGTAGCTCATTAAGGCAGAGCTGTGCTTGCTGGAAGTTTCTATTGAGTACGTTTACTTTTTTTTTTTTTTTTTCTGAAATGCTGATAAATGACACTTACCTTGCAGAGTTTGTGTGAGGATTAAAGGAGACACCATCTGTGAAAATGCTTTATGGAAGGATAGAGTATTATGCAAATGGGACTTCTCCAGTCTCTCTGATTCTTTGCTTCACTGAATAGGCCTTTTCTCACCTCTACCTTAATTGTTCCATTCCCACTGGCTCCTGATGAGCGTACAAAGTAGGATCACGAGTTCTTCAGTAGTTTAAACAGACGGCCATTCCTTCTGTCTTCCTTCTCTCTCTGAAGCAGGCCAACCCTGACTGGTACCCGGCTCTCCTCGCCTTTTCCTCCAGCCCCACGTCCTCATTGTTTTCTTAAGTATTTATATAATCAGAAAGGCTATTTGCCCTTACCAGTCTTTTTCAAATTTCATCAGAAAGCCTCTTCCTGGCGCTTACTCTTAAATTCTTTGTAGTTTTTCACCCTCTATCCAAAACAGGACTCATATTTTCTCTTTAGAAAGTTTACAGCCCCCAATTCTTCCTCTTCTTTAAAAGAGATCATTTTTTCTGAGCCATCCTGAACTGCCCCTTCGATATCTTCATCTCCCCTTAACTCAACAGTTTCTCACCAGTCCTGCCATCACTGAAGTGGCTCTTGTAGTCTTCCTGTCATGGCCTTTCCTGTTCCGTCTGCCCACCACACGTTCCTGGGTGTCCTATAAACCTGAATTCAGAAGACACTCCTCTTTCCTGTGGCTCCCAAAGGACTCGTGTTTGTATTTTCTAGCTCTGATCACATCACATTTCCGGGCCAGTTCACTGCCCGGGGCTCTGTCTTCTCTCGGAGATGGTGTGGTCTCTTCCCCAGGATCTGTGAGAAAAGGGACCCTGTACGAAGCATCTTTATGCCCTCTGGTTCCTGGCGGTGTTCAGTGATGGTAAACACATGGCGGCTACTGGCTGCATTCACTGGAGGCCACCCAAGGGCCAGCTGCTGAGCACATGTGCTCGTTCAACCCCTGCAAGGTGCCTGTGAGCCCTCGTGGCAGAGCCAGGCCTGGAATCCAGACCTATTCAGCTTTGAAGTCTTTGATCTTACTGTGTGGGTTTTGTTTGAAAAAGATAGCAGAAGCCTTCCGTGGATCCTACCCTCCCACCCAGTGGAATAAATAAGGGTCACACAGACAAAAAGCAGCCACGCCTAGTGATAACCGTCAGGTCCCCCAAACTCACAGCCTCGGGAAGAAAAGGGCCACGTCCTCCTTGTCAGCACTGTCGCCTAGTGCGTGGCATCCTGTCTGGTCACAAATCCACTGTTTTTTTTTTTTTTTTTTTTTTTTGCGGCACGCGGGCCTCTCACTCTTGTGGCCTCTCCCGTTGCGCTCCGGACGCGCGGGCTCAGTGGCCATGGCTCACGGGCACGAACCCGCATCCCCTGCATCGGCAGGTGGACTCTCAACCACTGCGCCACCAGGGAGGCCCAAATCCACTGTTTTGAATGAATGACTCAATCGACAAATTGAAATAATCTGATCATGTTAGCCCAGGCTTAACAATCCTCCGAGGCTTTCCATTATTTCTAAGATAAAGTCTATGAAATTTAACCTGGCTAAAAGGCCCATTGTGACCTGGGCACTCAGACCTTACCAGTCACCTCTTCTCCACTCACTCCCCTTCTCTACTACTCACACTCGAACCCATAGCATCTTTTGGGTTGTCCCACCGGCCTTGTTCCTTCCGGCCAGGTGTCAGCGACCTTACCTGGAGCACCCATCCCGCCCTTCACCTGGCTCATCCCTAGTCACCTTCAAAGCTCAGCGTAAAAGAAATGTCCTCTAGGAAGGCTTTGCTGACGCACCCACACACCCTCCAGTGGGTCAGTCCCCCGTCCTCTTGTCTCAGAGCACACTTTCAACTACAGGACTCACTCAAACAGTGAATAAATGGTCCAAGAGCTGTTCTCAGTTCAGGGTTGGAAGTTAGTAGTGCAGGTGGGTGACTGAGTCAGATGACTTGTTTACATCCGTGCATGAAAGACAAGCTTCTCGGCAAAGGTTTCCTAAGGAAGGATACGTTCTAGACACAGACAGCCCAGGCCCAGTGTTGCCTTCCTCATGGGCCTGAGAAGTACCCCTTCCACATAGCCTAGCAGTTAAATTCTTGAAGATGGCTTTGCTCTCCATCTAAGACTTTGCCTTTTGCTTAAGGGTTGATGACCTCTTACCTGTCTCTGGGAGGCTCACTTCTAGACCTGAAAGAAGCCTGCTTCTGCTCAGGCCTCCCGGCTTGCTGTGAGGGCTCAGCCCCCTTTCTCCTGTCGGGTGGCACGCTGTGGGGAACCTGGTCCTGGGGAGAGGCAGTGGCTGTGCTCAGGGGGGTCTGAGACCTAGATCGCTCCTGCAGCCGGGATTTCTTTTCTCTCGGGGCCTCAGAACCAGCGCCTGTAGCTGTATCGCTGAGGGTTCCATCCTGACTTGGCTGCTGAGGGCCGCTTCCGAAGAACCACGCCCCCGATTTGGTTAAGATTTCTTGTTGCTTTCGACACAAATTGCATACCCACATCACCTATTTGAAGAAGAGAGAACGATATAAATTCTTTGCACTATTTGGAAATTATTTATTTTCATCACACTAAAATATCCCTTAAGGAAGAAAGAATGGTTGTCATCTTTATATTTATCCTTGTACATTTCTCATGAAAATGATCTTTGCACGAGTCACCGTCAAGTATATGAATGCCTGGACCGAGACGCATCTGAAATCATAGACTTCTGGTAACCAGGATAGAGTTTTGCTTGGCATTTATAACACTATGATTCTGAGTTGCATATTACCATGTATCCATCACATTTTGAATGACTGACTTTGAAGTTTCATTTAAAATAGCTTAGTAAAAGTGGTCTAGGCAGGGTAGTTGATTGATTAGAAAAATGTTGTAGGGCACCATAGAATTAATATTTATGTACATAAACCTCAGTGTGTCATAGGATTTAGAAGGATCTACTCAAAAACCATCCATTATTAAAATCAATATGGCAAGATATTTACGTGGAACAAACAATGAAAGGTAGGCACAAAAGAAAAGGTCAGGCTGTATATTCTCTCTAGTTTACCAGCAATCAACTAATCTCAGCTAGAAGAGCTATTTCGGAGCCATCATTTGGAAACACATCTGCTGATAAATTATAAGATGTTATCGCCACTTAAAATAAATCTGTATAGCTGCTCTCCCCGTGGTGACACTTACAACGAATGTAATAATGGGGCCAATGATGGTAACAGAAATAATGAATAATACAATAATAACAGCAACGCCAGCCTCAGTGACTTTTCTTGGATCGCACTTCAGTTTTTCCTTTGCATTTCAGAAACAGCACCTCCGGGAAAGGCTGATTACCAAACTCTAGGTCCTCATTTTCACTAATACTGACTCAGTCAACAATTGTGCAAACATATCACGTAAGGATGAATAAATCCTCGAAACATTAAGTGAGAAACAATATAAAAGAGGAAAAGAAGAAACATTAAGTGAGAAACAATATAAAAGAGGAAAAGAAGAAGAGGAAAAGAAGTTGGCGAAAAGAAGAAAATGTACTCCTGAAAACATTCAGACGGATACAAAGAAAATTATCCCTTGTTATTGTTTACAAGACAAAATAAAAGCTAAAGTGAGAATAAGAAAAAGACAGAGAAAATATATTTTTAAAAAGGAAAATATTGCAGATGAACTGTTAAGAATTGCTCCCTTCCAAGCAAGAAAATTCAAATGAATTTTGAAAACTAAGACGAGCAGAGAGATTTGCTATAAAATGTTGAAGATTGATTATGCTTAACTCATTCCTCTACACTTCCTCAGGTTATGAAATGAAGACAACTCGGTCCACAAAAGCAGTTAATTATAGCATCTGCACAATGTATTAGATCACAGACTTCCCATTTAACGAGATGAACAATGCATTGTATACGCCTGTATCAGAATACAGGATCTATGGAATGGAACTTCAATTTAACATGCTTGCCAAATATGGCTATACTGTGCACAATGTATTAATACCACCATCTCTTAGATATCATTAATAAGGTCCCTCAGAAGTCCTGATTGATTGAGAGTGGACGTATCAAAGATGGCGATACCCTAGGACCAGAACTTCCATCAACAGTGACACTGAGTCTCCTCCGCCCAGACCCTGGATGGGGACAGGTGATGTGCTTCCTCTTTGGCTGCCTCTGGTTGACAAGACAGTGATGTGGAGGTCTGAATTCATGGAGTTCAAGGAGATTGGTATGAAACTTTGACTATTTTACAGAAACAAAGTAGACATTAAATTTTTATTTATTACACTAATAATAAGCAAAATACTACTCTTTATCAAATTAGGTCCTTTTCTACAAAAATATTAAAGTGTATTTAGGATAAATATGAATTTCCTTCAAAACCATACAGAACACAACAAAATTTACAATTATTACAAAAGTTTCAAAATGGAATTAAGCTGAATAAAGAGGCAGAAAAAAGCAGAAAATATGCACTTCTGCATATTTTCTAGAAAGTTATCACAATCTTAGCTTGATTGTTTCACATTTTTAAGTGCTATAAAAATGGATCAATAGAAAGTAATTACCAGATTTGTGCAGATTCCATGTTTTGAATATGTTACCAGTTTTGAATATGTGCTGCAGGATTGATAAAAGCAAACAAAATATAGTTATTATTTATTTTAATAAGTTAAAATTACAATTAAATTGTAATTAAATTAAATTTTAGTTAAATTTTACAATTCACTTAATTTCATTTTTAATTTATTCAAAAGGTTACAACTAGTAGTTAAGAAGAAGCAGCTGTTTTGATTAATGTATTTAATATTATTCATTCTTTTAAATCTGTGATATTTCCTTAATTTTTGTAGAGTTTTAACACTTAGGAAAACTATTGTTTAATTCCAAATTTTCCTATGTATTATCTTTTTGTGCACCATAATATTTTTAGATTTGTATTTAAAAATTAATTATAAGTGTGGTCAACCTATCTGCCAATTTGAAAGCAAAATTAACTGTAAAAAAGTTAAAATCTTTTTATTGAAATACTATACCTCCCAATATCCATTATTAGTTATATAAATTAGTCTTGCCACAAAGTTTACAAATGAAATTGCTTATATGAGATGTAAAAAACTATGAGATTACAATAGAATATTAGTCATACCTTTCAACACATTTTGTATCAAACATTGCAGACATGTATAAAAATGAGCTAATTCGTTGCTGAGAAGCAACACAGTTATGTGTGTGAGATAGGTTTCCACTGTCTCATAGTAGATGAGATAGTGGAAAATAGTTGATGACAGAGGAGATGAAAATGAATGAGTTCTCTTTGGTGCTTGTTTTGATGTGTGTGTGTGTGTCTGTTTGAGTGTGTGTCTGTGTGTGTGTGTCTGTGTGTGTATGTCTGTGTGTGTGTGTTTCTCCTAGTCTTTTGTTATTGTTATTTCATAGGTTTATTTTTTCCTTTTGGAATTTTATTAAATACATAATATGGATTTATGAAATATAAAATATGATATAAATTGCTTCTTTTTAAAGAGTAAAGCACCCCAATCCCACTGTTCCACTATTAATATTTCAGTTTAGTTTTTCTATACAAATTTAAAACAAATTCCACTGTAACTTGGCATTCTATTTACTCACTTAATATTACAGCATAAATATTTCTATGGATTCTAAATGTTTCTAAAACATTTTAATATTACAAAATATTCTATAGACACTGTATACCATTAGTCTAACCCTTAAACTGCTTACATTCTTTCACATTAATACAGAACTCTGCAGTAAAAAAGTGTTGATCAAACTGTTTTCCTATTTAAAGTCATTTATTTTTTAGAGTGTATCAGAAAAATCAAATTACTGGGTAAAATTTTAGAGTGCTTTTAAGGTTCTTCTGCTATAAACACTATACAATAGTTTAGGATTCTTTGTCTATTTTGCAAAATAGCCTCCCAAATGGGTTTTGCCAAATTATAACCAAACACCTGACAGTATCAGCTCTGGATTTTAAGGTCTGATGATTTAATAATGCCCCCAGACCGTGTACTCTCACTCTCACCAATGTTTCAGATTTAAGATAATATAAGGAGATCTCACCTAAATAATCACCAAAAGGCATCTAACAAAGTCATAACTGTCCATTCAAAAACACCTCCACATAAGCACATACAAGCATACCCTGAGAAGTCCCAATCAACCTTTCTAATGCCTTGTTTTTGTCTTTGTGCCTTTTTTCCCCTATGGATAGTTAATAAATCATTTAAAAAAACAAACAAACAAAAACCTAGAGCATTAAAGAGAAAGGCCAAGATAAACGTAAAGGAGAACTGATTTTGGAAAAGTAAGAGATAATTCCAAGAATAGAAAAGAAAACTTAAAATGGTCTCTAATTAGTGTTCAGATACCAGAACAAAAAGAGCTCTTGAAAAACAATACTAAGATTGTCAATAACAAAAAACGAATTTCAAAGAAGGAGTTTATTAAAAAGTCAAGAGATTAAAAAAATATGAGACAAAGTCCAGCTAGTTCCAAAAAGAGAGAACAGAACATAGCAGAGAATGAATTTTGCAAAAATAATAGGAGGCAAATTCCCAGAGTGGAAAAAGTCACTGCATTTTAACAAAAAGAATGGAAAAAGAAACCACAAAGAGACAACATTGCTATAAAATTTCAATACACCAAAGATAAAGAGAAGATCCTAAAAGCTTCCAGAAAGAAAAAGTCAGATCCCTTTCAAATAGAATAGATCAGATTTCTCATCAGCAATATTGAATGTTTGAAGACAGGGAGAAATACCTTCAATGTTCTTGGGGGAAAACATTGGAGCCTGCAATTCTATAGATAAGCAATTCATCAAGCAAGTGTAAAAGCAGTAAGCAGTATTTTCAGCATTTGGAAGAGCTTGGAAAATTTACCACTCACACAGCCTTCCTTAGCAAAACAAAGTCTTCCAAGAAAGAGGAGGAAATGGGATCTAAGAGCAAATGGTCGTTTGCAGAAAGAGCAGTTAAGGGAAGTCCCAGCATGAACAGCCCCTTCTGGAAGCTTAAAAAGAATCTTGGAGCAATAGTGCTTTGTGACCACCTAGAGGGGTGGGATAGGGAGGGTGGGAGGGAGACGCAAGAGGGAGGAGATATGGGGATGTATGTATATGTATAGCTGATTCACTTTGTTATAAAGCAGAAACTAACACACCATTGTAAAGCAATTATACTCCAATAAAGATGTTAACAACAACAACAAAAAAAAGAAACTTGGAGCAAGAGGATGAGGCTCCTGGAATGAGGATTTCAAGAGTGAGAATAAAATATCTGAGAAAACAACAGCAACGGCAACAAAGGACCTCATGGAATGCACAGTGTAGTTTACATAAAGAAACTTAGCTGGCTAAAAGAAGAACCCATTTGCATCTGAAGGTAGGAATATTCTCCACCAAATGGAACAATGTATTGGCCTCCTAGAATATCATGCATAATCTAAGCCCACCACTCAGCTCTATGGTGGATAAGAACTGTATTTTT